GGGGGGGGGGGGGGTGACGTCAGGAGGGGTGCCGTGTATGTATGCGGAGCAGAGGGGGGGGTGAGGCGAGCGCGGGAGCTATCTCGACTAACATGATATGCCGATACCTAGGTGCTACCGAATCTGTTTCGGGCTTTTCTCTAGAGCTTGTTAAACGAGAAGTTGTCGGGGGGGCGGAGGGGGGGGGCACCTTTGCACAGACCACAACATTTAGGACGGACTGCCGATCTACGAGTTACCTTTCCAAGCCTCGAGACGGTCTTTTCCTGACGCGAAACATACTGTCTCAAGACTTGGAAATATTTACCCATAAATCAGCAGGTCCGTCCTAAACGTTGTGGTCCGTGCAAACATGCCTCCCCCCTCAGCCCCCCGGCAACTTATCGTTAATCAAGCTCGAAAACAGATGCGGCAGCAGCTGGGTATCTCGGACAGGTGTCCGACGCCACAGACACGCTCAGAGACACAATTCCCCCGCACACCGACAAAAAAAAACAGAGGGACGACCCACCACGTGGAGCAAAACACTTCAACTTCAATTCATGCGCACCTCTGACACCACTCCCTCTTCTTCGACCAGCTTCGACTGCACCCTGCTGTAGAGCACCGTCTCCTTCGGCTCCGGGTTCCGCATCAGCTTGTAGTTGCTCCATCGCACGGCTCCGCTGCTGGCGAAGTTGGGGCTGTTGAGGTTGATGACCACGGCCTGCCGAGCGGGGGCCTTGGTCTCCACGAGCGAATCCCAGAGGTCTATTCCGTCCAGCTCTACTTCGCCATCGCCGCCGTCATCAGCGCTAGGCACACCGGCGAGTCCCAATATGGTGGCGTGCACGTCCGTAACGTGGGTGAGGTGCCCGTAACGGTAGGGCTCCACTCCCGTCCGTCTGAGCGCCGCGGAAACGAACCCTCCGGACACGAACGCGGGCACGTGCACGCCTCCCTCCCAGTAGTCGCCCTTGCCCCCGCGGAAGGGCCGGTTGACGGACCCGTGGGAAGGCAGCCCCCCGTTGTCCGAGAAGAAGATGACCACGGTGTTGTCCCACTCGCCCAGGTTTTCGAGCAGCCCCCGCAGGGCACCCAGGCCGTTATCCATCTGATGGGAGGAGCAGAGACGCAAGAGGACAAAGAGACGAGGGGAGAGGGGGAGAGAGCGAGAAAGAGAGAGAGCGAGAAAGAGAGAAAGCGAGAAAGAGAGAGAACAGGCAGCGTTCGTCGTATCGGGGTTGGAGCTGGTCGGCAGGCGCGCGGGGGCGAGGTGATAAGAGGTCGATAAAGTGTCCGAGGACGTCAACAGCCACCGTCTTACCAGCGAAACTACCGCTGGAAAACAAGAACGAGCGGTGCTTCTTCTTCCGCGGCAACAGCAGCTACTACGGTAGCACGGGCCATTCAAGAACCACTGCTGCACACCGCTCTCGTGGCTAGATGATGTACATGCTTGCAAGCAGAGTCTCGCACAACCGCTGAAGAGACTTTGAGCTCGAGGGTCAAACGACGCGGGACACAAGAGAAAACATCCGCCTCGCCTTGTCAAACAGGGCCGAAGAGTGAAACAGAATCACCCACCTGAGCGACCATGCCGCACGCAATCCTGCGGTTGTCGTAATCCGTCTCGTCAGTTTCGCCAATCGATGAGTTCTCCGCCGAGATTGACTCGCATGACGTTCCGTTGATCCAGCTGTCGTCAGTCTCGATGGGATCGTGGATGGCCTGAGAGAGAGAGACAGAGAGAAAGCGATAGGGCAAGAAACTTGTACACGAGGTCATGCTTGGCAGGAGGTGGGACGGCATTGCGTCGCAGCTGCTGTTCGCGTTGCTGTGGAGAGAGTCTACTATCCATTTGACTGGTAGCTGCAACAGCAAACATGAGGGGAAAATCGTGTGTCGTTACAAATGCACCATCCGCAATATTCTGGCTCAGACAGACCACAAAGTTGCCGAGTTTACCGAATAGATCAAGTATCATCCCAGCAAGTCGGCGACAAGACTGGCTCGCCAACGCTCGAAATCTGTGAATTTGTACAGCAGTGTTGACCGCAACACCAAACGGACCCTACTTTCGTTCAACAGGCACTACAGAGCGCAGAAAAAATGCATCAAACTAATTTGGGCTGATTTCTGCTATCCTTCGTGGTTGCTCTTCGGTCCACGAGCCGCCTCCTTGATGCCACCATGCAATGCCAACAGAGTCAGAACGAAATCGGGTGGCGAAGCGCGGCCAAACCGTGCCTACGTCGGTGCAACCCTACTCTACTGCTGTAGACTAACAAGCATCAGCCGAGCCGACAGTTTTGAGGCCGGAAGCCACATTTGGTCACCCTTGTAGAATCACCGGTAACGGACAACACAACAGCATGAGCCAACGGCGATTTCACCGCCGCTCCTGCGGCCGCTCCGCGTGCTGATGCAGCCATGGCATGGAAAGTACTCCGAGGAATAAAATCAACCTCCCGAAGACCGCAGACAACGCGTCGACCTCAACAAGGAGCAGTCTCTTCATCGGTTTCATGCTCCAAAGAGGCAGCCCCACAAGCACAGCAGTGGTACTCTGCAGGAACGTCAAGGGCACTTTATTCCTGCAAAATGATATGCACTTTTGTAGCGACGCACACAATGCTTTCGGCCTTTGCCCTGCATCTATGTAGCAACACGCTCCTCCTGTTACAGCAACACTTCCTCGTACGCGCCGCTCGAGTCTACCACCCGCTGTTGCCTTTAGCCTGTGTGAGGTCGACCTCAACCAGCAGTAGCCGCAGTGCGCTGCGAGCTTCTCACCTGATACGACAGGTATAGGAACCACGGCTGGCCCTCCTTGGCCGACATCGCCTCCACGTACTCGGCCGCCTTCTTGGTGTAAAGCTCCGTGCTGTGCGTCCTGGTGTCCTGGTTGTCGTCCGAAACCTCGCTCCCCTCCACGATGTTGGGCCCGCTGAACGTCCGCGTCTTCCCCGAGCCGCCGCGCGGGGTAAACTCCGGGCTGACCGACATGTGGGTGTAGTGCCCGCCCCCGCCCGTCAGGATACCGTAGAAGTCGTCGAAGCCGCGCTCGACCGGCAGGAACTGAGGCATATGCATACCCAGGTGCCACTTCCCCACGGCAGCGGTGCTGTACCCCGCCGCCTGGAGCTTCTCCCCGACAAAGGTCTCCGTGAGAGGCACCCCCCTCGGCTCCATCGTGTGCAGCACGGAGTCCTGCATCCCGATGCGGTAGCTGTAGCGCCCGGTCATGAGCTGCGCCCTGGACGGCGTGCAGGTCGGGGCGGTGTAGAACGTCGCCAGCTCCACCCCCTCCGCGACCATAGCGTCCAGGTTGGGGGTGGAGAAGGTGGTGTCATGGAAGCCCACGTCCTTCCAGCCCAAGTCGTCGACGACTACGACGAGCACATTTGGATTTTCTGTCGTTGCGGACGAACCGGACCCCATAGCCTGTGGAGCTCGCCCGATGCCCAACAAGGCCAGCAACGGTGCAGACGCGGCTCTCCATGGTACCGGCGACATCACCCTGTGCTAGGGTGCCTACAAACCCCGGTTGTTCGTGCCTTAATTGGCCTAAGTCTCTCGCCGGGCGTCTTTCAATGCGTGACAGCGGTGCACACCGCGGACAGGAATTCGATTAACTTATACCCCCGCCATAGCAATACCTCAGAGGATACCTGCACACCATCGGTATCTTTCTTGGATCTTTTCTTTCCCGCGTCTTCACCCATTTTTCCTCCCTAACGCCTTCTCCCCCACCCAGCAACCTTTTTCATTTGCAGCTGAACGAAAGCAATCGATTGAGGAGGGGGAAGGACATGCAACGCGCTATGGCATGACGGACAAACCGCGCACCCGCTCCAACAGAAATAGAATGTGAAAAGAAAGGGTGGTGCACAGGTGGACGTCCACCCTCCTTCCCCAAAATGTCGGATACCCTCGCCCCCTTATGGAGGTCTTGACAAGGTCGAACAATTTGGAGAAGACAATCAAGGCCTCGAAAGGGGAGAAATCGACGTATTTTTGAGACCTTGGTTGTCTTCTCCATAGTGTTCGACCTAGTCAAGGTCTCCACAAGGGGGCGAGGGCATCCGACATTTTGGGGAAGGGGGTTCGACCTCCACCGGTGTGGTGCTTCCGCCTGTCTCTCTCTTGTGCTTGCTCGATGCTAGGTACTTGCGAACGTTGACTCACACCATTCATTGTAAAAAGGAGCGATCTGTTTCGAATTCACTCGCTCATCATGCATCATGCTGTGGTGCATGTTTAGACTACAGCGAACGAAGGTAAGTTGTAACACGTGCACGTACGTGAAATTTATCGGCAAAAGCAACGCTCGTTGTGTTCGTCGACCAATAGCCCACTAAAACTTGGAACACATACGATGAAGCAAGATAACAGCACGTGTTGATTGAAAAATGGACTCTGCGCTGTGTCTGACGTAGATCAAGAAAACGGAGACCAAATTTCGTCCTTCCTTGCTGCTCGCACAATACTGCCCGCCCGTTGTGTCTCGTGCAGCACAACATTCGTGATATATTTCCCAACCGGGTTAATCATCTGGCTGCCCAATCGACTTGTTGTGCGCAAAAGCCGTGTATCATCGGCGAGGTTGAAGGGTTTCGGCCGCTGGTGTGCACATGGTGGTGCTCACGATGCTTCGATGACATATTGTGACAAACCAAGGTATGTTCCCGAGGGTTTTGAAGGAAAAAATATTTAAAACAAAAAAGCCGAAATGCTCCAATTTCTTACTGATGGTTGTACTACTGCTGTTGTACCATCAATTCGACAACGTCAAAAGCACTGGGAGTTGTGTGAACCCCGCCAACACCACGGCAGCTCTCTCGATACACTGACTCAACGTCGCGCGCATCACTTCCTCTTCTTGCCCTTTCTTCTACTCCGAGTGTGCATTGGTTTCCACGTGGACCCTGCGTCGCCCTTCTTCTTCTCTGGGGCCTTATTTCCTTCCTCTAGCGCCAACTTCACGGCCCCCCCTGCGGCACCGCTCGCCTCGCTCTGCTCTTCAGGCGTCATGCCCATCTCCTCTCCTATCTTGGCGATCTCGTCTTGCAGCTTGATGGCCTCGTCCTCTCGCCCCGCGACGTGGTGCGTCATGGAGAGGTTGTGCATGGACACGAGCACGTCGAAGTGCTTCCGGCCATAGAGCTTCTTCCTGCGAGTTTAGGTTGCCGGAAACGGTTGGTGAACGATTGTTTATACAGACTGCCACGCTATCAACCAAGCCGACCGACACTGTCGCTGTCTCATCATGCTGTGCGTTGGCATGTAGATCCACGCCATTTAACAGGCCTGAAACGGCGCTAGTTTGAGAGGGCCGGAAACGAAAAACGTGTACAGGCTGCGTGTTTATGTGCGTGCGCACACTTGCGGAGTTCTGAAGGGCAAAATGCAGCATGCCGTGGAAATACAAGAAAAAGTCGCAAGACTGCAGAACATATAACATAGAAAGTTGAGTGGTGCCAAGGGTGAGAGGGCTGAGTGGGTCGGGCAGCATGCAAACCGGTGCCCATCCGGCAATCTCTTCGTATTGCATGTGCCGTTGAGGTTCGTGCTCCGGAGAAAATTCCGAAGTGCTTCTCGAGCGAAAGCGGGGTGTGCTTTACCGAGGTTCAGTTTTCATACTGAAGACATGAAGAGCCAAGTCGCGTCACTCAAAATTCGGATGTTTTCCCGTTTGAATGCACCAAGCAAGGTGGTAATCGAAGTCAAGAGAAACGTCCTCGAGTTCTTACACCATATTCTTCATCCAAAAACTTTTGCACAATGCTGAACCAAGGGTAGGCTGCAGAAGGCTCTGATCCTTCCGTGAGAAATGGAGGAAACGACTTGAGTGCATCGTACATACCCATTAACATAGCGACCATGGGCCCGCCGCCACTCTGAATGTCAATGATTAGTCTTAATAGTATGGTCCTGGGTGCTTTAAATAAATCCATTGGACCGATGCACTCCGGCTGGCCACAGCTTTCGAAAACGAGCACTTAACAAAAGCTAGCACGGTGACAGCAGAAAGCTGCTGTGCTGTGCTGTGCTGTGCTGTGCTGTGACATGCAATTTCCCCGCTACTAACCCAGCCGCATGAAACTTGCCCGAGGCCACGAAATCAATGTACAATGGTCAAGGAGTTGCTTGAGGAGAGATCTGCGCCTAAATCGGCACTCTTCGGAGGCTTCATCACGGTTACTGGCTGTGTGCTTCAGGCTGCAAGTGTCCGACGTAAAATCTCGCCGTGCGGCGCGACGAGGCCCCCTTCCACAGTATGCACCGTAAAATTCTCGTCGAACAGAGAGCCTTTTCGAAACTGAGCCAAAGAAGTGCCTCCGACCAAACGATCTACTCAACACGCAACACAAAACGAGACCAGATCATGCCGCACCTAGTCTCCAAGACGTCTTTGTACAGCTCGGTCGCCTCAGCGAGCTTCCCTTCCCGCTTGAGGAAGAGGGCCAGGTTGGTCTTGGCGTTGGCGGTGCTCGCGTCGTCGTTCCCCACGGCCATCTGGAGGCCGTCCAGGGCGGCTCTCAGGCGGGCCTCCGTCCCCTCCTTCTCGCCGCCGCCGAGCATGCCCTGGACGGTGGCCAGCCGGCTCCGCGCTAGCTGCAGGTCCGGGTGGTTGTTGGTTAAGATCTGGAGGAGAGACAAGAACAAGAACAAGAACAAGGACAGCACGGCGGACAGCGAAATGTACAAGGGGGCGGCCGAAGGCGTGGGAAATCAGCAACCGGTGGTTCTGGTGCTGAGTGAAATTTGGGAACCCAACTAGAAGCATCACACCGCGAAGGCTATGATTTGACAGCACGGTTTTGTACCTCTTTCTGTCGCCATGGAACACTTCTAGCAGTTTAGGGCTAACTCCGGAGGCTTGTCCTTGCGTTGTGAACATACCCTTAGTCTTCCCTGGCTTCCCACCAATCTTCGTTAGACGCTGTTCCATCGGAGGCTTGTCCTTGCTGCAACTCTTCCTGTCTTCCATTGCTTCACGCCAATCGCTGTGAGAGATATGAGAAATAACGCTTGTAACATACGCGGAGGAATACTGGCAGACATCTAAGGCCAGCAAGCTCGTGGGCAACGATCATACCGAATCGGCACACACGCCCACCAACCAATTTTTCGAGCCTCCCTTCTGCCCCTCGAACAGCGCGTAACGCCCCAAATCCGGAGTGTACCCCATATTTGAACAAATCGCACAATGAGAAGACGAAACCGTAGGAAGCAAAGTTGAGGGTAATGCGCGGTTCAACCCGATGTAACAAATCCGGAATCTACAGCAGCAGGTCGTAGTAGCACCTTTTCTCGGATCTGGACGCAACGCTGGAAGGATTCTGCGGCGCGCTCCATGAGCGGGATCTTCTCGAGCTTCTTGGAGTCCTCTGCCATGGCACGGAACAGCATGCCGAGGTTGTGCAGGGTGCTAGCGAAGGACGCGTTCTCCTCGCCCTTGTACACTGCCCGGTAAACCTTCTCGAGTCATGGCGAGCAAAACCGCGCAGAGTGCTGTCAATGTAAGCAGGCTGAGTGTCGGGGACCGCCTGCTGAAACATGTGTCGCTCTGGATATCAGAGCATCGTCGGGCAATGTAATCTCGGTGTACTTGATTCTAAGGTAGGGTGGGTAGCACCGGTTTCCTCCAAACAAAAGTCAACCGCAGAAGGAAGGAGGGCAAACACCCAACTCCTATCTTACAGCTGTGCTCAAACGTGCCACTGCTGACTACAACACCGACGGTACAGAACCTGCATCTACAGCAAGCACAAGTTCTTGACTTCCATCATTGCCACGTCTCCAAGCGGCAACCCGTACGCACGCACGCACGCGTTCCGAGCAATGCAGGGCTACCTTACGCTTTAAACGTAAGTCTCGGATGCGGTAGGACGCAAGCATACCTCGAGGGCCTTGAGGTAAGTCTCCGTGGCTTCCTGGTGCCGCCCCATGGACTTCAACATGAGCGCCATGTCGCTTAGAGCGCTGCCGTACACGCCGTGAGCCCTTCCGAAGTGGTCATCTACCTGGTCCACTAGTCGCTCCGCCACCTCCAGAGCGTCCTATTGGGCACGGAATGCCATCAGATGGTTGTTGGCAATTGAGAGGAGCTGTCCAGGCTATCCTTCGGGGCTTTTGGTTCCCGAAAGTTTATATCGTGTTATTGTTGTCTTCACATGAAAAAAAAAAAGTTCCGTTCTCCGCATGCGCCTCCATATTGTTGCATTGCAATACGACCGCACCGCACACATTTGGAGAAATGTAAACCCTCAGTCCTGATGACACAGTTCAGAGTGGTCAAAGCTGCGAGAAAGGAGCTACAGCAGTAGACTACGTGGTATAGTGGCTCTAGCGCAAGGGGAAGGACAGCTCTCTCCTTTAGTCTGAGGGTTCATGTTGTTGGCTAACCAACCATTACTGTGCATCATGTAAAGCCACCGTTGCTCCCGTTTGCACACAAACACCAAACTTCGACCTCTCTGACCTGATACATTCCCTCTTTGTAGTACTCTCGGACGGCTTTCTGTGTCTCGCGTATCATGCCCTCGCGCTCCAAGTAACCCTTCTTGCTCTTTACTCGAGGCCCCGTCAACATCGACGGAGATGATCCCTCCGAGGACACCAGCGTGTTCACCGGAGTAGACTCCACTTTTAGAAATTTCTCCGGCTCCGACCCCGTCTCATCAGCAGCTTCAGTAGGCTTGCCAGAGGAATACTTGGAGCTTAAACGCCTGCCGTGGGAGGGTGTCGCGGCAGGCGCAGCTGCTGCTGCGTTGGCGGACTTCTTCCAGCAGCTGCCCGTGTGAACTGACGGCCGCATGGCGGAGGACAGACCATACTCTACACCATGGCGCCCACCAAATACAGCCGGAGTGGCCCCTGATGCCGACACTACCCGCAGGCAGTTGGCGACACCGGTCGCTGCACGTCGCATGGCAACGTGGGGATGCGAAATGTGCAATGCGTGAGCTAGGGGGTAGGCCTGTCCTCCATCGGCCGCGGCCGAAAGAGCCGATTTCTGAAAATTTCGGCCGGAAAACGGCCGCAAAAAAAACGCGGCCGATTTTGCAAACAAAGTGGCCGATTTTGCAAACAAAGCAGCCGATTTTGGCCAGGGGATAGCCGAATGTCAGTCGGCTACGGCCGGTTCCTAGTCGGCTACGGCCGATTCCAAATCGGCCACGGCCAATGTCCGATTTCAACGGGCCACCCCCCTCCCCCCCCCATAAATTCAATGTTGTGGGGAGTCCTACGCACCGTATGTTGTAGTACCTGGTACTGGTGTACGTTGTCCTTCGATTTTTATTTTTTTGTGGGAATATATATGTGTTTGTTTTTCGCCCCCCGTCTTGCTGCACCCCCTGGGGTGTGGTGCAGGGCGGGGGATGCCTGGTCGGCGGGAACCCGGCACGGAACCCTCCGGCGTTGTAGGCGGGTGTGGGAAGCGTTCNCCCGTTCTCCTTTTATTCTATTTTGATCGGTCTCCTCGACGCTCTTTCTCGTTTGGTGTGGTAGCTGGTCTTTCTTTCTATCATTTTGTTTCTCTTCCGAGTGGTTTTTGTACCCTATTTTTTCTGTTTCTTCGTGGGGTCGTGTATGCCGGGCTTTGAGACCACGGGCTCCCAATTTTGTTTTTTAGAGCTAATGTGAGATACAACAACAAACAAAAACAACAACAACCTACCCTTTTCGAACATTTTTTCACTTGCGCGGTGGTCTCCGCGTCTCCGCACTTGGAAAAAAAAAAAAACACAAAAAACTTCCAGCTTCCAGCTCGCCCATAGCTCGTAGCTCGCAGCACGCAGTCCGCACACGGTAGCACGTGGCAGACACACACACACATGAGGGGATCCAGCCTCGCCGTCTTCCCCTTCATCTCGGAGGAACAAGTCGACAAGCTTCTCACCGAAAAAGACGACTACTATGTGGCCGCCCGCGTGACGGACAGAGACTACGATTTTTGGCAGTTCTGGCAGGACCACAAAGAGAAACTCCCGACGTGGTTCGCCGTAGTCTTGGACATTGCTCTAGTGCAACCCTCGTCGGCTTTCGTGGAGCGCGTGTCTTCGACAGTACGCTCTTGCTTAGTCTCAAGTCAGAACAGCTGCTTGTCAGACAGGATCATGGCTGCCGCCCTCATCAAGTACAACCGAGGAAGGGATAGGCATTCTCTGAAGCTGCGGTATATCGAGGAGGAATTAGCAGAGGAGAAGGAAAGGGAAGCAGAGGGGGAGGAAGAGGAGGGGGACGGGGAGGAGGAGGAGGAGGAGGAGGAGGAGGGGCCTGGCGGTGGAAAGGCTAGCGCGGAGGCGGGGGTGGTAGACGTGCACATGAGCGACGGGCAATAGACATGAGAGATGAAACACGAAAGAGTAGGCTTCGGAGGCGTATGGTATGAAATAGTACTCTTTTTCTCAATGATGACTAGTGATAAACCGGTGCATTACTGCGACTAGACACAGAGTTATTTACTTCCAAAGAACACAGATAAATGGACGAGCCCCGATCCATCTTGCGCAACAAGCATAGGATGCACGAGAGGGTGTTAAAGGGGTACCTGTACGGGCTAGTACGGGCACACATTGGGGTGGCCGAAAAAAAATTGGGGCGGCCGAATAAGGAAAAAAAGCGGCCGAAAAAGGAAAAACAAGCGGGCGAAAGAGAAAAAAAAACGGCCGATGGAGGACAGGCCTATTAGGGGGGTGCATCAGATATCAGATAGAGGCGTAATTACGCCGCAAAAAAAGCAGGTTTGCGCGGCGTTTCAATGATGGGGGAATTGCAGGTTTGTCCCCGACCAAACAGGCGTATTGCCCCGGGATGGTGTTTTGACTAGGTCTGTCGTTGTTCTTGTGTGCAAATTCAGGGATGTTCAATGACATTAAAACATACCTTCCACGCCATGGGTGTTGTTCGAAGGATAATGTGGGCAGCTTGTCAAACCCAAATTTGAGAATGAGTTGCATTTGGTTCTCCGTGAGGGAGCGAAGCGGCGGTGTGAGTCCAGCGTTCAGTACACCACCATCAGGAGCTCCACCACATGCGAACAAAAACAGCATGCATGCCCGAAACAGCTACGCGAGTAAGGGTCGCGAAGGCGTGCGAGCCCAACGAAATATGCGTTCGTGCAGGCGGCTGACGAACCGGAGCCATGATCCATCCTCCCAGGCGGAGAATTAGGACTCACGTACGCACGTCCCGAGAAGGCGTCAAGTTGTCTGTGAACAAATTCTGTGAGCTTGCAGCCATTCGATCCTCAGCAGGGTGATGCTAAGCGGGAGCGACCCCCAAAAGAGTCGGCACCGTCCCGGCCAGGAGGCAAGTGTCCCCCAACACCCCCACCCAACCACGCAAAAGAGAAGGACCCCTCACCCCGCATCATTCCTTTCCCCAGAAACAAACGCGCCCAACATCTCCGCAAAAAACGGACGACACTGCTGTTCAACGGCAACATCTGCAACATTAGGAGTCGAGGAGACGGAGTGGCCCGGTCGAACGAAGGAAGGCTAAAAAAAGTGCGAAAGCATGCCGCTAGCGGGTCGGGCTTTACTCGTCCGCAACGACAGCTTCCTCGCCCTCGTCCTCCCTCTCCATCTCCATGCCGATGTCCTCGGTGGTGTTGTCACCGTGCATCTCCATCAGCTTGGTGACTGCAGCGACAAGGGTAAAGGGGGCGGGCAGGCAGCGGAGTTGTCACGTCAGGGCAAGCCAAAACACTCCTCCTGCAACAAAAAACAACTCGACAATGACGATTTTGAGAGGAGACTAGAGATGGCACTTTTCCTTGCATTTTTCTAGCGTTGTAGGCCGGCCTCCGAAGCAAGATATTCAAATCCACGCTTATGCGGAGGGAGCAAAACCCAATCGAGAATACTTCGCACACACGAAAAACCCGCGCGGAAGAAAACTTGCCGTCAAATGCATGAATAACATTTGTGATGTATATCGTTTCAGCGTTGTGTGTTTATACTGCAGTTTTTGGTTGTGCGGACACGATGATAATGCCAAAACTATCCGACAAAAACCAAAACGCCGTTGTGTACCGTACAGCAGTAGATGTGCATCATTCAACACCACGTACTGCCGGTTGCAACCGAACCAACAACTCCTTGAACATTATCAGGGCGTGCTCTGCGCTGAAATCGAGGGCCCCCTGTGGACCCGACACCATCCAGGGATACGTAACAAAACGGGCACAATACTCACGGTCGAACTTGGGCTTCTTGAGCGCCTTGACCTTGCGGATGTAGACGCTCTGCATCGGGTAGACGCTCTGCACGGCCTTGAGGATCTCTCCGGAGATGTTCTCGGGGATGCTGCAACACACGATGATATCGCACACACGGCCATGGTTAACAAGGGGCAGCAGTGAGGCGGGGGAAGAACAACTCGTGATTTTATGTCATGTCGCGGAAGGTACAACAAGGAGAGAAGCCCCATCAAGACCTTGCCTGCACAAAGGGCGGGAAGGGAAGCCGGAAGCAGACGCACTGGTCGCGGCGCCCCGTCTTGGTTAAGATCGCTTGCTGCTTGACTGAGATACTCATGCTGTTTCGTGTCATAGACCTAGCGGTTGAAGACTGAAGCCATTCGCCAAGATTTCCTCCTACTGGCGCTTTCACCTCCTCTTGGTGTGCCAATAATTTACCCCCACACTCGATGGCAATGCATCCACTCGTTGAGCAACACGTCGTTTTTCATCACCGTGGACCCGAAGTGACATTCGAAAATTAGAGGTGTTGCAGGAAATTCTACTGCTCTGCCTCGCCAACAATGCGGGACACGATCTCACACCAACCCACGCGAGCGGCACGCAAAAAACACCCGCCGGGATACTACGTATTACAATCGTGTTGATGAACATGGTTCGAGGCGCGAAGAGGCACTCACAACTTGAGCACGAGCTCCCTGAGGTCGCACTTGGAGGCCTCCTCCGACATGATGTCGCACATTTTCTTGCGCACCGCTCGGATCTGCGACGCCTGCGCGTAGCAAGTCTGCTTGATCTGGTTGGTCTGCTTCTTGGTGAAGCCGATGCAAGACTGCGTCAAAACACGACGCAGGTCGACCAACGGAAAGGGGGAACCGCCGGATGTATTCGCGTTGACGAAAGAAGGGACACAAAGCGAACGTGGTAACGTCTGTAGAGAAGAGGGAAGTCAAACTCGTCTCCTTCGATTTGTGGGCCAAAAGGAAAGGTCAGGCTGGCCAAGAGTCGTTGTGCAACGAAAATCGCTATCGACGGCCGTACATGAGGGTGACAGTTTTGAAAGAATATACGTTTCAAGATGTTGCCAGGGCGAAACAACGCGTGTGAACGCGCCCGATACGTCGGTGCCGGAAAAACAACAACGGAGGGGACAGGGTCGCTGCTGAAAAACAAGGAGCGCGCCGACCGACAACATTGTCGTCCCACCTGTTTACCGCCGTCAACTTGGGGACCCCTAGCTGAACCACAAAGAAGGAACACAGCGATTTTGTACCAGCACCGGTTGGACAACAAAAGCATCATGGAACGGCCAGTTTTGTCACCCCCGTGCCAGCCAGCTTCTTTACAAAGAGCCGTTCCTGCTTCCTTCCTCAAGCACTGAAACGGCGAGTCCGTATGTTTTCGTTTGTACTTGTGTACTCACGATGCGGAGGAGGTAGCCATCGGTCGTGCGGACGTCCACCTGCCCCTCGATCAGGGTCTGCCACTTCTTGATGAGCGAGCAGAGCTTGTCGCGGGTGAGGTCCATCCCGTGGAAGTTGGTGAGGACCGAGGTGCCCTGGACGTCCTCGCAGCACAGCTTCACCTTCCGGTACCCCTGAGAAACAGAGAGGGGCAAGACATCAGCCATGCCGCAGGTTGGGCGAGCTCAGGAAGCAGTAAAAAAATAGGCAGCAAGCGAGGCTTGGGGTCACCTCTTCACTACTGTGTCAGTCTCAACGGTCAAACGCAGGAGCTCGTGCATATTGAAAAAACCAAGCACCACCATATTCGTCGCTGCGTGCGAACAGTCGACCTTTCCCCAATAAATGTCTGCCGCAACGGACGGGCAACACTCTGCTGAACCCGATAACTGCTCCCGTAAGGTCGGCCTTGTCCGCTTGGGATAACTACTGTGCCTGTGAGTTAGCTTACTATTGCTTGCCCTCGTCAACGTCTGCATATTCACGGTTTTCTCCCCGAGATGACTCCACGGATGTTTCGACCTTGCGGGACAATTGAGGGTTTTGCCCACCCCTATGATCCCAGAGTCCCAGAGGACACTTGGGCTAGCGAACCAAACAATGAGGTGACTTTGCTCATTACCCGAAAAAGGGTGGACAACTGCAAATACGATGAGGATTATAGCATGGGTATATGCCGTGTCAACACCACAGCAACGGCAAACTAAACTGTACACGGTTTTGGTCATCCCTTCGATCTCGTCCCCACAGGGTCCAAGCAAAGAAGTATACGGCGGGCGGTGCCTCATACGGTGTTCACCAGAGGTAAACGGAGACCGTAAACTAGAGATTAACACGAAACACACCCTTCAAAGTAACTGCGCCTAGGCTATGTTTCCAGTATGATTTCAACAGAAACTGAATCGGGCCATCGTCTGTCAAACGAACCGGCCGTCCAAGTCCAAACTCAACACTGCTGTTTGCAAGGCGTTCTAAAGAAAACACACCGCATTCAGGGTTCAAACTCCTGCTGCCACGGACGACGGTCCTGCGCTTGCTTTCGGTATCCAACAGAGGAACGCATACGGCACGTGAGGAGAATGTCTACTACAGCAACCGATAGTGTAATCATTCCGAATCACGACCAAGACGGTTACTTTACTACAGGAAACACCCAGGGGGGGGGGCGGCGATTCGACACGAGATGATTTTGAGGTTTTCGCTCCCGAGAGGGCATAAGCTTTTCGGAAGGCCTTTGCACCAAACAACAGCCCCTCACCAGGTCCTCGTCGGCGTTAAGGTCTCCGAGAGAGAATTCGAACACACGCCCCTTAAGCCCCTCCGAAGCGATCTCTGCTCCGACCAGCGACCGGCGGTGGCGGCGGCAACAGCGGTAACAACAGCAGACGCATCCATACGTGAAAGAGAATTTTTTCAGAACAGACGGGGGATGAGAATGACAACAGAAAGCGGCAGGGACTGACAACCTGTCCCGTACGTGTTCGGCACATACGACTGCGGTGGTAGCCAGTTGTTTCACCAACCTATTTAGTCACGGACTGGAGGCCAAAGGGCGTGCGTACAGGCCGCAAACCACTACACGAGGGAGGTAGAAAACTGCACGTTCCGAGCGATGCACAGGGCTCACGACGATTGGATTTGTGCGACTTAGCTCATCCGCAGAGACAATTAACACCCGGTGGGCTAGATTCGCTCGATTGTACGGTGGCCGCCTAGGCCGCCACGCGCATGATACCCGCAAAGTGAACAAATACAAAATAAAAGACAAGCACGCGAGAATGACAGCAGTTGTTCGCTATCTTTTTCCCATCATATATTCTCTTCTACCTTCGGAGCGGGATGCAACAAGAGGAAAAGAGACAGGTCAACTCACTCGTTCCCTTGGTACGCGTGATAAGAGTCTTGCCCGGGTTGCGCACTTGGAAGATGGAGGGCGCCTTGATGTCGTACCACTCCTTGAGGGTCATGGGGTCCACCCTGCCGTCGGCAAGCCACAAAGAAACACAACAAAAAAATGCGAAACGCTTTCGAGGGTGACTACTCATGCCGGATGCTGGAAAACTAGTACTGGTACGTTTGGTCAAATATCGGGAACGCAAGCGACCAGTTTTGCATTCCGAGGAGGCCGGCGTGCAATGGGACAAATATCGTTGTTCCAAGCGCGTATCCCAAAAAGACGGAGGTAGACACGCCTTCAGTAATCTAACGTCATCCTCTGCCAGCCATGGGCAACCCTATCCAGCCCTGACGCCAGCGTGTGTGAAGGCCGCGCAAGTAGTGGGCTATCTAATGCTGATGGGCGCCTGAAATATCTCAATCACATCAACGCTAGCGCGGTCATACATGGGCCACAGTCTTGGATATTACGGTACTCACCCGCAGCAATACGGCAAAACGCAGAAGGCGCAGAGTAAAGAGAAGGAGCACCGACAACGTCAACAAGTTTACAAAAGGTAGCTGCTGCCTTTCAGCCGCCGCAACAACGTGTGGTCGACTGGCGTGCAACCAACCGGCAGCCTGGATTCCAATTTAGTGGCAACTTTCGCCACGGTTTCGTGTGTACTCCATCGAGTATAACAAGCACATAACGCACAGCAGTCGATTATTTGAAGGCAAAGGATGCAATCCATACCTTCAGCAGCACCTGCGACAGCAGGATGGGTACGTCTCGGGTCTCAACCAATTGGCTAAATATTGCCGACGACACCAAAGGCCTTTCATCACCCACTCACACGACTTTCTCCCAACACTCTGAACACAACAAACTCACGTCTTCTTCTTGTTGCCCTTTCGGCCGCCCTTCTTGTTCGTCTTGCCTGCAACACAACAAGGTAACAGCAGCAGCAGGAGCAGCAGCAGCACAGGTGCTTTCCTCAGAACAGCGGGGAAAGACAGTCCAATTCCACCAGCAAAGGATGGCAGCTGTGAAAGAGGGCATGGCAGTGTGGACAACCCCGGTGTCTGATGGTGTTCGGCCACTTGTCGTGGCCATCTTTTCTCCACACCGCGCCGCGGCAGCAGCGATGAAGAAATGAGAGCCACACGCCCCGCGCACACTACGGTGGACATTTTCGTGTGATGAAAACGCCGTGCGCAACGAGGCGACAAAGCGAACAAGGTACACACTTGACACCTCCTCCATCCTACTCTCGGTGTCTACATGGTGTCTGCATCTGACAGCTCCGTCGATGCAAGTCCAACGTTACGCATCCACCACGAAGCGGAAAGGGCATCGGGATGGGTCCCTAATCCATCCAAGGCAATTGTGGGCCATGAGGAATCTCAGGCACCATTTCCACCGCAGATCCCGGCTGACCCCAAGCTCCATCAGCGTGCTATCCTTGCATGGACTCACCGATCGCCATGGTTGCGCCGAGTGCGAGGAGGGGGAGCTCGCTCACAGAATATGACACGCGCTAGAGGCCACCCACCGCTCGCAAAACGGGAGCTCCGTGAATCGAACGAAAGAGGTGGGGAGGGTGTTGGATGAGGGGCACGCTAGAAGTTTGTGCCTTTTGAGTCGTCGCATCGCTCTGCTGACCCTTGGGGTCCATTTTATTTTGGTATAGCTTTTCTAGGTACGTTAGCCTGTGACCACGGAAATTGGCCGAGTCAAGTGATGGATTAGTACGGAGAGATTGAGACAGAAGGAGGTACTGGATAGAGAGACCGGGATGGTTTTTAATGTGAAGATAACAACAACAACAACAACAACAACAACATCGCAGATCGCAGATCGCGGGTCCAACGGCTGTGCGTCTTCACAAATCCGTGCACAGATCCGGACACATCACGTGACAAATGCGAAGCATCCATTCACATGGATTCGACGTTGCGGCCAGGCATTTTGCTGTTCACTATCGAGGATTGCACTCTGGACAACGCAATACTCGTGTATGCAAACCAACGCGTGTGTAGATTACCGCCGTTATTGACACAAGATACCATACCCCTGGACCGATAATCAAAGCTCGACTACTCCACGACGAAGAGGATGCATACATGAAACGATACGTTCTTAGGGAACTGTCGATCAGGCAGCTTCAACACCGCCGTTTTCGGTTCCGGTATGTTTTCTGCTGTGGAGAAATCGAGCGTTGAAAATCAATCCAGGGCGTGTCATATCTTGCGTCATCTCCGAATGAGTGTGTGTTTCGGATCTAATGTAGTCTATACACTTCAAGGACGTCCGTAGCCTAATGCAGCAGCAGTAGTGTATCATGGTACATGTACAATGTATGCAGCGCACGTTTACGCAGACCATGATCGCCTTCCGTATGTATATTCACAAAATAGGCCTACAGCAGCCTTATTGTACATGACGGCTTGCAGGGTGAGGTCGTCATTTGATCTTCATTGAAAGTCTCTCGCCTACAATATCCGATACCTTTCAGCAGTATCATCTCCTCATTTGGACGAAACGACTTCCGTGGGCCACAAGCTAACCAACCTTGAAAACAAGGTACAACAGGATCCACAGCAGCTGTATACAGCAGGGAAGAGAATCCGAAAATGCCCACACCTCAAGAAATACAAAACTCAAAATTCCTTATTGTGAAACGAAGACTTCACCAGAAAGGCCTACAGAAAACCCTCGAAGAGCGGTGTAAAAGCGCATCGCCCCAACTCGAAGTCAAAATAAATGGTATATTTCGGTGTTGTACCAGGTAGAAGAGCTAAATAGACTAAGAAATAGGCTAATAGAGCGTAGTGGACAATAATATCACGACAAGAGAGGAAAAATCAAGATGCACCGTCAAAGGCTCCTTACACCAGTCCGAACCCAGGGAGTGCTAGACTACCGTGCGTAGTGCTCGTCCACAGCTGTTCCCGTCAACCTGCCCAGCCCTCCTCCCAGTCCTAGGAGGGAAATCGAAATAAACACAACTACAGAATGTGTAAAAGATCCTACGCATACCACAAACTACTTCGTATATATATATATATCAACGAGGGGAACAAAGAAAATGGCATGGGTGCAAGTACTTTCATGCACATGGCGAAGTTCAACAATGCACACCACACGTGTGCATAACATAATATTGAAGTGCGCGGAATGGATGTGGGAACACCGATAAACCAGAGTGCAGCGGCGTTACGCAATGTTGTAACCGCTACCATACAGGCCATCCCGTTGAACAGAGAATCGCTATACCGGGGCCCGCAATCAAGAGTCCAAAGCTGAAAACAAGATACCTGCAATTCATGATCTGCATCGTGGCCTGTTGCAGGCAGCACGACCAAGTACCACATCGATCGCCCTACAATTCACGAGAAGCAGCTGCAATCGCCACTCCATTCACAAAGGGACGCTTGCAGAACTTACGCAACTGAACCAGGAACACCATGTGCAACACTACGATGCACTTCCTCTTCACACTGATTGGGACCAGCACCCTTTCTGATGGCTCAGCGCTTGTGGTACAATAAAAAAACGTGACGTTTGTACGCTAAAACGTAACAACCTCCGCCTGGCATCTCTTTCCTCCGGCAAAAACAACCTCCGATCACGGAGCCAGGAATTACGCACACGGGCAGCCGTAGATCGGACACCGAAACAAAAGGGGGTCGCATAAAGCATTCACTTGTGATGATCGCGTGGCCGCTAGCGACACTCGCTCACTACGTCCTCTTCGGGTGGACGTGCAACGTGCCACCCCTCCGCACATTTCGGAGTGTCGCGGTTTTTTGACGGTTTTTACCTAAACCGGCGATTTCAAAGCCGCCGCAAAATCGATCAGGGTCTGACGCGCGCGTCGGAGTCCCCCGAGCCCGCCCCCAGCCCCCTGCCTCCGAAAGACGTAATGCATGCGGCCGCCTTCGTCGGCAAGCCCGAACCCCATGGCGCGAACGACGCCTCCGCCTCCCGCCAGCCTGCCGATCTTGCGATCGAAGAATCCGTTCGCAAGGCGGATGCGGGCAACCTTCGGGTCCAGGGGAGACGCCAGGAGATTGTCGGCGTACTTGCGCATGGTCTCGAGCGCGGTCACGACTTCCTCGAGAGCCGGCGGGCCAGGGAGGGGGCTCCGCAGTGCTGGCGACGACGCGGCTGCGGAGCGCCCCGCCTTGCCGCCGACGGGAGGCGGAGCATTGAACGCCAAAAACTGGGCACACGCCCTCGCCACTCTGTCGGCGGCGTACAGGTTGGTCTTCACGACTGGGTCAAGGGCCAGGGAACTCTCGCCGTTCGCCCCCGCTGCCTGCCCCCCCCTCTCAGCAAGAGTTACCCCGAGGCTGTGCAAGTGGCCCCCGACGCCTCCGTGAAAGCCCAGGAACGAGCTCCCCGTATGAACGTGCCAGGTTCGCTGCAGGTGCCCGCCGGCGCCCCCCCACGTTCTTTCCCGGCCCTTGTTCGTCCTGACCCGCAGGCTGTCGACGATGGCCCCAGCCCTGACGGATATCTCGGTCAACACCTGGAACAAAGAGACCGTCATGACGTTACCGAATCAGCTAAACAAGAAAAGCAGCATGCCGAAAGGTCGGTCGACGACGGGTCATGACAGAGCGACCCTTCCGCTTCCATCTACTTGTCAAACCCACCTCACTGGTTGTAACGGCAAAACACAAAAGGTCATCAGCGACGTGACTCGGCGAGGCAATCTTCAACCCTTTAGTTCGCCACGAACACTCCTCGAGCCCCGCAGGGTGACAATCCCGTCAGAGAAGGTTTCGATTCGTTCCCCCAGAACGAAACAGCAAAAGGGCGCGCAGTCAGGCCGCTGGCGGACTGACCACCTACAGGGTGGCTGCGCCCTTGCCCCTACCTCTCCGCCCTCGACATCCAGCACGAAATTCGATTGGCGGTACAGGCCGTGGTCGCCCATCCGCGTCGGCCCTCGGACGGCATCCCCTTGGACGTCGTAGACCACCTGGACGCCGTTGACGGCGTCTCCGCTCCACCCGACGATCTCTCGCACGCGGCCGGCCGGCAGGAACGGGGGCACGCTGCCGTCCACCGTTAGCGCGACGGGGGAGCCGCCCATGACAAACGCGGGGCACCTTCGAGAGGGGGGGGGGTCGGCGATGAAAAACACTCAAAGGAAATATGAACACACAAGTTTCCAAGTGAAAGAAGGAAGTCGTCCTCAACAGACGTTGAGGAGATGTGGTGCCCATTTCTAATGTTGCCTTCAAGGTCATGACCACATTACCCCCCAGCTCCTTCGGAGCTTCTCTCTTGTTGGCTAGACGAGGAAAGGTTCCTAAGGGAAACCGGAACTGGGCATCTCTTCGTCGACGACAATGTGATTAGAGGGGATCAGTCGTCCTCGATATAGACGGTGGGGAGGTGGGGACCTTTCTGAAGGTCACGTCCGCATATCGCAGAGGCATGCGGTGGGGAAACATATACAACATCGCCAGAAAGCATTGCATCATCATGTCTACCTTCCCGTTGCGGGGTGCCCGGCGAGCAACCAGCCCACAAATGAGATCAAAGACACAGGAGAAATGATACCCAGCCACGGGTTCAACCGGGTCACCCGCGGTCCTGCAAACATGTGTCGATGACGTCTCAGCACACACTCTTGCTGCTGCTGCTGCTGCTGCTGCTGCTTGCATGACGCCCCTTCCAGACCCCCCTACAAGACCAAAAACACGCATCCACCCTCACCCGACCGGCCCGTCATCGAACTCCTCCGTGTCCTCGTGCGTCCCGCCGACCGCAGGGTGAACCGTCGTCACCACCCAGCCTACAGGGGGCACCGCCGACACCTCCTCCTTCTCCGCGTCGTCGGCCGACGCACCCCCCGCCTCGTCCCCGGGAAGTTGGAGCACGGTCGTCCAGCCCGGGCAGTCAACCAGGTCGACCGACGGCCCCACCGACACCGTCGGTTCCCCCGCGCGGCGGCAGGTTCCGCGGGCGGGCGCAGAAACCGCCGCCGCAGACGGCGTGGTCGCTGCCGCCACCGCATCGCCTTCGGCTTGCAGCGATTTCAGCGGGCACAGGGAAAGCTTGTCCTGCAGTTCGACCTGCACGGCGGCGGCGCGGCCCGAGGCGGGGGGGGGCAGCAGGATTTCCGCGTACAGGGCGCAGCGCCCGCCGCCACCGTCTTCGCCCCGGTGCTGACGGCGAGCCCATCTCCGGGCACCGGTCGGTCCCTTCCTCAAGCCCACGACCGCGATCGCCGTTGGCGTGCTCTCGTCGTCCGAAGGCTTCGACGTACCATCGAAGGGATCGGTATCTGGGCTACCTTCCCCGAAGAGCTGCACCAACATCGCCTCCGTAAGCCCGGCGCCAAGGCCCGCTTGCTCCTTCCGCTGCCCGCCGGCGGCGGCCGCGACGGCTACCACGGCGCCGTCAGGCAGGCCGTCCAACCACGCTGCCGCGGCGAAGTCAGCCTCGCTGCCGAGCACGAACGTGTTCGCGCCGAGGAGAACCCCGGTGGTCGCCGAAACGGCGGCGACGCAGACGGCCCCGCGGTGGCCCCTACCACCCTCCGACAGCCGACACACCGTGGCCCCGCCCACGAGGACGGAAGCGTCCCCGGGACGTTCCACGACGGCCGCCACGCAGAGAGCGAGACCGCCGCCCGGTTGGAGACTGGCCATCGGCACGCCGGTAAACGGAGAAGCCGCCGCCGCCGCCGCCGCCGTCTGTGGTGACCCTCCGGCTGCTCCGGCGGGACCGCCCCCCTCCCCGCGAGACGCGATCCATTCGGCGTCCCCCGACTGCCGACCCTCCTGTCTCCAGGATACGACAGAAAAGAGGAGCACAAGGCGATGTAGGCGGGGAATCGCGATCAGTGCATCAAAGTTTTGCCTCTGCCTGTGTTGACATGTTCGTGTTGATGATACTGCGACAAACGCCTGTAGACGTTTTTTTCGCCCCCCGATCTCGGCAGTGTCGAGGAACAGCCGTGAGACTGGCAACATCGCTCGTCCGGAGGGGGTGGGGATGGGTAGCATGAGAAAAAGCTAACCCGAATGAACAAGCTACTTCCTGCTACATATCTGCTGTGGCCGTCGTCATCGTGTCAATTCCATCGCACAAAGCCGACGACCGAACGATACAGCCAAGGTTGCTCGTGTAGGTCCTCAGGGAGTACTTTTCAATGCGGCCGTCTTCTTCTTTATCAGGAAAAAAACACAAAACCACGCCCACCTTTTCCTCAGTGTCGAGACCGTCGCCGTCACAGCGCATCGATTCGTACCGCTGGAGCTCCCTCTGCTCTTCAGCGAGCCTGGCAACGATCGTCGCCGTTCTCGCTGCCGAGTGGCTGCCGATGACGCCGGCCAGCCACTTCTCTGGGACCAAATTTCGGCGCGACAGCACCTGTAGCCAACGACGCGTGTATCTGTGTGTGGAAGCCAAGGAAAAAGTGATGTAGGTGGAGCGAGTGTTGTCAGGCTCGATCACAGCAAGATGGTTGTATCCTGTTCACGGGTGGATGTGTACCGGCAGAAAGAAGAGCTAAGGCTTCCGAAGAAGCAGAGACGCCACTGAACTACATATGAAAATAGTGTGAATCGATGTTGCCGGTTGGTAGCGGTGACACAAGCCAGTCTCTTACGAAAACCATATCTGCGGGGGCAGAAAGTCAAAAACGAGGACAACACCAGCGGGCCTCGAAATGCTCGCTTGCCTCTGCGGTTCGTCTTCAAGCACTGGAACACGCAACTCGCACACACGACCTGTTCCTGGCCACCTTGTTGCCTACCGCAGACCCCCCTCGCACGACAGCAGTTCCAGAGATTGCTGACATCTAAATTCCTCGTCGTGTTGCCGCGCCCACTACAATCGAGAGAAAGGTTGACAGTGTAGTGACCTTCACCTTCGCGTTACGTCGACCGCGCCGTCCTTGCCGAAGGCGACGACGTAGGACAGCCTCTTGTTCCAGCCTTGCTCGTACATAAGTGGCTTGTCGAGCTTGTTCTCGCAGGCGTCAGCGTGCACCCATGCGTTCCTAGCTGGGATCCAGATCTGCGAGACCAAAAAAAAAAAATGAAGCCGATTATTTCACACGTACACCAGCAAGGAGCCAGGCGCTATGTTTCGGACGGAAGCGCAATCCTCAAGACACGCTCGCGCGAGCTGCATGCACTCCTGTCTCTGACGGGCAGAGAGCGACCCTGGCTTTCGTCTTTCGGACGGGACACGCGAGAGCGTCTGCGTACGTCGTGTGCTGTGAAGGCAGGGTCGGGGGTTTGAACAGAGAGGCGTGGAATCGGAACACAACCGGGAGTGAACAACGTGGAGGTCGAGCAAGAAAAAAAGCATGGTCTTCAAGACCGGATGGACCACAAGAAAGTCATGTGTGGTGATCGGGGTGGGGGAATTCGTGGTGTCATGGTCGCTTACCTCGGTCCAGACGTGGTCAGTCCAGTCCCTTGCACACCTCGCCTCCAACCCGACCGCCCGGCACATGAGCGTGAAGCAGTTTGCCCACTCGCCGCATCGCCCCTGCGCGCGTGCGTCGTCCAGCAGCGTCGGAAAGGGTTTGTGTGAAGATAAACAACCGCCATCCAGCATCGTGATTTACGTGCGTAAGACGGAATAAGATCCCGAAAAACACAAAGCAAAGAAAGACATGCGGATGGGATGCCAAACGAAATATGCTGCTGCTGCTGCTGCTGCTGCGACAAACACAAGCACAGCAGCCGACAGCATCTCAAGAGACAATTAATCGCAACACACTCCCAAGTAACACATTGTGCCATCATCATAAGACTGCTGAGAGCACAAGTGTCGGTTGATGGATGCAGCGACTAAAAAACTGCTCACGTTCCGCGTCTCCAGTAGCTTGGCGGGATCGTTGTAGCGGGGGTACCGCGTCTCTGCCCCGCACTCCTTGCAAAAGTACAGCTCGACCACGGAAGCCTTGCTCGAAGCTTCCTCGGGGGTCGGGGCGCAGCCCCCCTTGCCCTGCATGCAGGCGCCGCGCGCCCCGCAACCGGAACACGGAGGCTTGTTCGTCCACTTGAAGAAGTCCTTCTTAAACCAGCTGGGTGCGGCGGCGAAATCGAGGTAAGGCGACAATCAGCGAGTGTTGGATACGATGGGGTTAATTTGGTGGGCGGGAAGCACACGGGGTGAGGTCTCCCTTTCAGCATGAACATCCACGGGGACGAGGATCTGCGTTGGGACAAAGCTGGCGTGGTACATCCAGGGTTTGTTGGTGGGATCGGGCGGAACAAGGGTTGACGGCAGGGAGAAGTGTCTCACAAACCGCACTATGGGCTACGTTGTGTCTGGCGTTCTACGAAAAGGCAAAAAAAAAAAGGGCGCTCAAGCAGGCGCGTGAAAGCTCGCCCAAGCGTTCCCGCCAGAAGAGGTGAGAACAGAAACACACTGCTGTTGTCCCCTTCACCTCAACAACGCCCGAGCCAAGCCCTCTTCCTCAGAGAACCCTCCCGCGGCGGCCATCTCCGCCCCCTTCTCGACAATGCTCCCCCCCTCAGTGGGAAGGACGGCCCGGGCCTTGGCCTGCAGCGCGCCGTCCTCGTAAGCGAGGGCACTCCTCATCCCGCTCGCGATCTGCCGCCTCATGTCGGCCATCTCGGGGTTGTCACTGTTCTTGGTGGTCGCCGGCGGCAGCCCTCTGGCGGCGTAGTAAACCTTGTCGGCGGCGCCGGCGGCAGCGGCTTCGGCGGCTACCGCGGGCGGGGAGCCCGGCGGGAGCACCTCGGCCCCTGCGTCTGCGCGGCCGGAGAAGAGGTCGGACCCGTAGCCCTTCCCGCACGCTTCCTTGGACTGGCACACGAACGCTGCGGCTGTTGAGATAGCGGCGCTGGGCCCGGCCTGGGGGGGGGGGAGAGAGTTAGTTGGACGCGCCAAGATGTCGTCGTCGGGTGTTGATGAGGAGGTGCGGTGGTGCGGTGAGAACGAGAAGTGAAACACCGCAAACACCCGAACCGCTCGCTGTCTTACACGAACTGCTCGCTGTCACGAAGGGACGCCTACGTTGCCGACATGAATCGTTGTCTGTAACACACCTCGTGACCATATTGTAGGCCGGGTCACAGCGTGCTATGAGATCCAAAAACAGGTACACGGCGAGCACAAAATTACACCCGGCCAAGAGAACGAACGGCTGGCACGGAATCCCCTCAGCGCCCCCATGATTCACCGTCGCTGTTGGCATATCTCAGGCAGGCTAAGGGTTGAAACCGTCACCAAAATTCAACACACCCACGGCGGTTACGGGACAAACGAGCACATTGAAAACTCACCCTTCCGGGAACAAAGCAGTTCTCCGCACAGGCCTTGCAGACAACGAGGATTGCCTCTGGCCCGGCCTTCTTCTTCTGGAGGGGGCTGAGTTCCCCCTCGGGCAGGAGTGTCTCTTCGCGGATGACGTACGCCGGCTGGATCACGGCCCTCCCCCCGAAGAACCTTGCGGGTGAGAGAGCACGAGCGGGAGGAGAAAGCACAGCCAACGGGATGCTGCTTGGTCGAGGCACAGCGACACGGGGACCAGATAACGGCCTCAAGCCGACACGGCGAGAGCATGATCGACCAAGCCAAGTTCACCGTTCTCTTGACATTGCAGCATGCCCAGCGTACATGCACCCGTAGAACCTGTTTCTCAAGACCGGTGCCCGTCGCGGTCGCTACTCACGTTCGGGAGCAGCATCCCTCCCAGTCGACCTTAGACGCGGTTGCCCCCGCCGCTGTCGCTGCCGAGGCCCGGCCCGCGCTTGCTCCTCCTCGTGCAACGTTCGAGCGTTTCGAGACCCGTATGACAGGGTAATTGCCGTACACCCCACCCCCCATCTTCCTTAGCGCGGCCGTGAGGTCGGCGTCGCTGTCTATGGGGGTGCTAGAGTCGCCCGCGGCGAGGGTTTGCTCCTTCGTCTCGATGTCGGTTAAAGAGAGCACCTGGTCGTGAAGCCAGGCGAGGCAGGTCGCCAACGGCGGCGGCGGCGGCTCGGTTTATGTTGGAAATCAAGCTATATACCCGCATACGCGATTCCTCCAGGTCAAGCGTTAAGACACCGGAAGACTGACCAGACACATTGGAAGAAAAAACAGACTGGTGTATATGCTCGAGATGGATCATCGTAAGGCTGGCCTGGCTTTCATAACGAGCAATCAGACCGCTGCTATCCACCGCCGCACAGCGGCGTCCCTTCTGGCGTCCGCGCGAATGGCCTGCGCTCCGTGATGCCCTATCGGTAAACACGGGGGATTAAAGCTGCCTATGTGCGCTTAGGGGTATGGCCGAGCGCGGTTGTGTACTTTAGTTGTAAGGCCGTGCAGAATACTCGCAGACATGACAAAAGGCCAGGACGAGGGTCAGAGAGGGCGTCGGAACATCTATCGACCAGCCGGACGACGCACCTGAAACTTGAAGAATTCTAGCCCCTCGGACGCGTGAACTTCTACGTCCGTCTCTTGCGCCACCAGGATGAAGCCCTCGCCGCTCTCCCTGGGTTTCTGTCGCTCGAAGCGGAGCTTGACCATGACGGGACCCCCCGCGGAGCTGAGCGCAGTTTTTACCAATCGCGCGCAGCATGGGGGAGACGAGTTGTTGCCTCAATTTTATGCCAAGGGGTTCGCCTGCCAGGCGGCTATTAGTGCTGTTGCAGACTCAGGCCTCTATGAACATGTTTACCGCCGCATCGAGGCGTTCGCATGGAACACTCGCAGTATGTAGGTCCACCATGTGGATACGCTTAGAAGGGCAAGAAAATCGGTCGCTGAGAAATGATTCCTTCGCCGCAAGCGAGAACAAGAATCGGTCTGCCGATCGATAAGCTCAATCGAGAGTTCACAAGCAACGTCACACAAATACCACTGCTGTGCGCGGATAGCTCCACAAGCAGGGGTCATCCCTCGGATTGAACGAATTCACAAGTCTCCTGGACAACCGAAAATTCTCCTCTCCTTTTCGCGGAGGTTGAGGGTGGCATCTTGTCGATGCACGCATTTCATGGGACGTGAAACTGTGGATACGTCATCGTGATACAAGAGGCAAGAACCAATTTTCAGGGCCAGCAGCGCGTAGAAAACCAACACCGCAAGCAACCTTATAACCGGAGAATATATTTCAAACGTTACCACACCTTGCGGCCGCCTGGTGCTGACTCGCTTTCTGCTCCACGTTTGCGATATTCGCTCCACGGCACTCGTCGACCTTTGCTCCGCCGAGGTAGAAGTGGAAAGTGGGGAAGGACCGCACCCCCGACGCGATGATGGCGTCTCGACTGTTGTGTTCGTACACCTGAGAAAGATAAAAGCCCCGGTACGGCAATAATGCTGATGGTTGGATACAAGGCCACCACGATGACATAGGCCGCAGCAGTAGCAGGCGAACCTGTACGAAGACCATGAAATAGCGGCAGGAATCTGGCCGTTCGACCTAAGGCGAAGTACACATGACCGTGTTCCTCCTCTGGGGGGTTGATTCCTTGCTCTAGTGAGTATCATGCGCTCCAAACAAGAGTACATGAGGGCTGGATAGGGCACTTAAGCGGGCGGCAACGCGGTGCACGCCTGATTAGCAGCAGCGGGGATAAGAAAAAAGTGGTGCAACACATACTGTTCGGTATGTCGAAAGGCGTAGCTTCTCCCGCACCTTGACGAACTCCACCTCCGGCATCCTCCTCGCCAGGGCTTCATATTGAGGAGCAATCCGCCGGCACGGTCCACACCAAGTCGCGGTGAACTGTGCCACCAATAGCTTCCCCTCCGTTCTCCGTGAAAGCTGGTAGAACTCTGCGCTCGACACCTCTCTCACCGACATTATTATTGCTGCTGAATTTAGTATGCAGCATGGCGAGGAAGGCAAGGTCAATTTCAAGGACAATTTTTAGACTATATCCTGCTTTAAGGTCCTTGTGAAGAGAAGAATGCCCTTCGTCTGTGCTGTTGTATCATGGGTTACCGCACGAATTCATGCGCCTTGAGAGTTCCTTGGGTTACATGAGGTACCACACTCCCTGGACCGATTTCGCGGATATTGCACGACCAAGAGGATGCTCTAGAAGAGATCTAACGCCAACTCCGCCATTTTCGGTACCGTTATTGTTTATGCGGCAGCAGTGTCAACAGCAGTGTCAACGGCCTTTGAAAAATGGTCCAGAGGGTACGGAATCTTATCGAATCTACGGTATCTACCGTGGACAAATCCCGTTCATCGATCGACAGCAGCGGTAGTGATGAGAGGATTGACCATTTCTTTTGCAGACTGGTTGTCCCAGAATGCCTCACATAACAAGACTCAAGCCACACGGACAAAGCGGCACCGGAATGATGCATGCTGCGCGCTTGTCCGCGCTGCACCCTGGCAACCACACCATCCTTCGAGCACAAGGGTGTGGTCATGTACCAGCGTCTCTGGTCGGGTCTACCGCTGTAGTGATCAACCGAACACATCGTCCTGCACACTAGCTTTTCTTCGTGGGGTCGTGTATGCCGGGTTTTGAGACCATGGGCTCCCAATTTTGTTTTTTAGAGCTAATGTGAGAAACAACAACAACAAACTAGCTGCACGCAACAAAGCCTACACAAGAACTCGGACTCACTCGTTTCACGATCAACTCAAGCGCTGTTGTGGCGGTGTTTTGGTGTGCACCCCACCGAGGAGGGAACAGAGGGCCTCTGAGCTATCTGAGGAGTTCGACTCGCTGTCCCGCTGTCATCACGGATAATGTCATCCCGCCGCCGACCTGGCCGAATCGTTATCTCGCCGCGTTTTTTCTCCGCCTCCGCGCCTCCGCCTTCCGCCATGATCACCCCGCCTGCTCCGCCGCCCCCAATCAACACACCACGAGCCCTTCTCCACCCTTTTGTCTATCGCGGCTTGTCATGTGCCTTCACGGGAGTAAGGATGACTTTGCTGCCTCCCCGCCTTGGAACCTTTGCAAGCTATCGCCAAGAAAGTGCCCCCCGATGTGGAATTGCATGCTGTGGAGTCCTCTTGAAATCCTCATGGTGAGCGAACCTACTGCTGTAGTTTTTTGGTTGCCTTACGCTCGGCAATGCCGCTGCTGCTGTGTGTTTGCCACTACCCTGCTGTGCCACGCGCGGCAGCAGTGTGTTTGTAGGCTGGCTGGGTGTGCATGCTCGCCTTGAGTGTACTTCTGTAAGCACTACCATCATCATGCTCTCTCTCTTGCCCATCGTGTCATGAATGTCTCCGCACGATGGATGACGACAGGTGTCCACGACGATGGCTCTTGGCTTCGCAGCAGCGGTGGCCTTACCAACGCGACTTGACATACCCGTTCCTGGAAGCATGGCTGCGTTGACACAAGGTTTGTTCTGCGGTGTCGATTTCCGATGCAAGGTTTGTTCTGTGGTACGTGAGCAGCTCCGGTTTTTCGCCGTGCACTGCCGCTGTTGTTCGCCATCATCCCCGCGTATGCCGTCTCCGACAGCGGTAGGTTCGCTACTGATACTTGGAGCAGCAAGGAAACGCCGTTGCAATTGTCGCTTGGCGAGCCCTACATTTGAGTTTGAGTGCTGCAATGACCACGTACAGTGATCCCGGCGACTGCGGCAAAGGGCAATGGTGTTCACGCAGAGCACTTGTACATGCCATGTGCTGAGCAGAGCACTTGTACATGCCATGTGCTGAGAGACCGATTGGATACCGAACCGGCACAACAGACCACGCTGACCAATCAGCGAAAACAACGCTCTAGACGGGTCTCCGTTCGGTCGAAGATAGCATGGACCGGTGTTCGCTCTTGCCAAAACTGGCGCAGCACTCACTGCTTTCATATCCAATGCTCTGCAATCAACCGTGCTGCAGTCACCCGCCCGCGTGCAAAGGATCTGCAAGTAGAGATGCATGCATCATTTCTCTCTCTCTCTCTCTCTCTCTCTCTCTCTCTCTCTCTCTCTCTCCCCCTCCCCCGCCCCCG